TGAAAATAACTTTCAAAACATTAATGAACGAATTCTATATCTTAGTAAACAAATCTCACACAACTGCTATTTCATGGTATGTTTATGTTGTAAAGTCTATTAAGCTTTTTGAAGTAGAAATTGCAATAACTTTTCCAAGTTTTGCTAGTATGCAAGGTACGGTAGTTTTATAATGCTTGTTCACTTACATAAACAATAATATAAACATGTTGTTGCCAAATACAATTTTGGAAAAAAGATGACAAATACATTATTAACACAGTTTCCTTTGGAGGAGCAAGGAGTTAAGCCCTATAGAGTACTGCTTCTGCAACGTAAGTAAGGGTTCACAGTTCTTTCATTTTCCTTTGATACTGGATCATGAGGGGCTAGGTAGCTATCCCGGATATCTGTATTTGGATCTAGTGCTTTTTTGGCATCATACTGAAGTTTTCCTTCACAGAACTTAGAATTAAGCTCATAAATACAGTTATTGTGAGCTACAGGAAGAGAGAGATTTATGGAAAGTGTCTCCTTATCTTTTTTCCCCTGAATATTAACAATCTAAATTTACGCTATACTGATGACCCAAAAATCTGTTGCGCATGTTTTACTTCAGACAAATGTAATAAATAAATTATAAAAAAATCTGCAAAAGCAGAGAGAAAACTTGTAACTATCTCCAGAAATTATGGCCTTTGTCTCTCAGTGCTTCAAGCTACAGGAACGTCTTCCTTTTGATTGTGGGATGCAAGGTTTCTTAGTGCCTTTGTCTTGTGCCTCATAATACCTTTTTTATTTGACCTAAGTATCATGGATGTGTGGATGCTTTCATTTTGCTTTGCACAGAGTAATGCCACAAGCTGTAAGGCACTTGCAGTGAACCGGTCCTTCTCTTGCTGTTTGCTGTCTACAGCTGCAACCTCTGCCTCAGTTTTTATTGAGGTAATTTGGCAGTTTGCTGCTGAGTTTGGAAAACACATTGTTCTTTTAATTACCTGAGCTCTTTGTATTTTCAGGAACATTCCTCTTTAATTAGAGCCCCATATATTGCACGTATTCGCACACACAAACCCCAAACTCTACTTAAACTGCCAGCAATACACGGCAACTTAAAAATGAGGGGAAAATCAATAAAGCAATCATCAAAGTTAGGCAGGGAGAATCATCCTTTCAGCACAATTATTTGCATTGTTTTGGTGCAGGCTGGTAGCCCAATATGTGTAAGTTCTCTTGAAGACATATGTTTTCAAGAAACAGAAGGCTAAATACAACAACTGACAAGTACGATGGTAGGAAAATACAAATTTCTTACTCCTGGATCATTCTGGCACTTGTTAGAAGATTTAGTGAGGGCAAGTAATTGTCTTTCTCCATTTCTGGACAAAGGTGTATCTCAAAAATGGAGAAGGCACGGCTCCTTGCAACTTTTTATTAGTCACCAGCCTTCACTTTCTAGGGCTGCAGTAGCACTGACAATAAGGGACTCACCAGTATCTCCAGTAGTGGTATCAGTTGTAGCCAAATACAAAACAGACACACATAGATAAAATATCAAATGAGAAAGAACCTCATTTCAGACAGTCTTCAAATCTAGTCTGTGAAACTCCTTTTCCTTAAGAATCCATCACTTCACTTTTTGTCTTCATGCTGAAGTATCTGCTTGCTTAAACAAAATAGCTCTAAAAAGTAGTAGGACAGTTAATACAGCTGCTGGTGCACCTCAGTGGGGGCAAATACATTCGTGGAACAGAACTGAACACTTGGAAGGAAAAGGTTCCCAGCAGAGAAGGAACATTCTGAATATTTTTTAATGTCCATTTAACGACTCAAATAAGCTAACGGCATTACATTTTCTTTGTTATTCAGCTTAGAGTTCTTCACTTAGCTGATTCTTAGGGTCTGTTTGGAGACTTCACTGCAGAATCTCAGTTGATATAGATGTATCCAATCTCAGCTGTATGAACTAGCCCTGCTGCAGCTAGTGTTTTGCATGGCATGTTTGCTTATGTGTATACCCATACATGTATTTTGCATGCTGTAGGCATTCAGCATCTGATGGCACAGTGCTCTGGAAGGCTGCAGAGGGATTCACCTTCCCTTGCTGCACTGCTAGTTCTGACTACGTACATACTCTGCTGCAGTCCCAGATGTGTCAGTAAGTCCCTCTCCGGAACAAGCGAGCCATTCCAAATGTATGTGGGTAACAAATAGTTTAAAGTCAGCTTGCAGAACTGGCCGTCTGGCTGGACAGAAGGACATTTTAGGAAGAAAAGGTCTCTGCGTAAGCTAATGCTACATAGCAAAGTCACAAATATCTGGAGATGGTGAATTATTGGGAATGCTCAATAATGGCTCTGTGAACTGCCAAGTGAAAAAAGTAATTTCTGTGAGAAAAAACCAAGTGAGACATAGGCTAATCAAAGCTGATTTGAACCAATAAGTTTAGATACAGTAACAGGTAGTGAAAGAGAGTTAACTAGAGCGGAAATCAGTGTAGAGAATGAAGTGGTGTTTTAGAGCAGATCTGTATTAATCACAGAATCACAGAATCACTAAGGTTGGAAAAGACCTTTAAAATCAAGTCCAACCGTCAACTCAACGTCACCATGCCCACTAAGCCATGTCCCGAAGTGCCACATCTACACAAGACAACGTAACAAAGTCAAGGAAAATCAGTTCTCAGAAATATTAGAGCTAGATGGCAATGTTTCAGTTTTACCTAGAGAGACAGGAATGGAATGGGTAGATACCTCATGGATTGTGGAAATGAGGTGCTCACTGCAGTATGCCAAAGAAACTTTCACCACTTGCTCCTGATGTGCTGTTCAGGAGACTGAGACACCCTGTATCTATCAAATGTTGCTCATATCAGCTGAATAGTGAACTGGTTTCCAAACATGTGCAGGGCTTTTACACCTCCCTTTTCTTTCTCAGGAGAACACGAAGCCATGAGTCCCCATATAGTTTTTCAGCTGTGATCGAAGTAGACCTTAGCTGATGAATGAAGTCCACAGAGTTGCTGGCAATTACAAATCTGGTTAGGTCCTGAATTGGATCCAGGCCTCTAATAATCAGGATACGTAAAACTCAGCTCCCCATTCCCACCTGCCAATCTAGTTTGCTCTCTGGTAATGTCAGAAATAAGTCCTAGGAACAAGACTTCTGCTCTAAAGGATGAACAAAGACAAATGCTTTGCTGTGTTGATGCTGTGAATCTTGTTGTGTGGTGTTTTGCCCTGAATCTTTCTTCCCTGGGGGCCTACCCTGTCCCAGGTCACTCCTGAACCCTCTTTTGGGCCAGCTCATTCATTTCTTCCAGGGCAAAACTCCTGATGTTTGTTGTGCTGAAAAGTACCTTCTAAAAATCTACGAACCTGGCCTAAGATTTCCTTAAAATTAAAGTAGTCAACAGACTGCATGCACTTGTAGGTAGTGCTTTTCTCCAGCTCTAATGGAAGCGAGCAGCTCCGCACGCACATCGTTTCTCGGAGCGCCCGGCTGGTCACTCGCTTCCCGTAAGAGGCATGGCACCAGCTGTGCTGTGACATTAATGCTGGGACGCTGTTTCTTTGGTCTAAACCTCATCTTTTCTGTGATTTGTGAGTATTCCTGCAAAATACCTACACTGAAATTCTCATGCCTTTCTCTTCCAACACTAAGTTTTGTTATTGTTTTTAAGAGTTTAAGAATAAGCCTCTGCATGTTATTAAACCTTCTAAAAGAAGAAACTTTCCATACCAACACAAAGCCAATAACATTTCTGAAAGCTCAAAATTGAGTTTGTTCTGAATTTCAGACTTGGCATAAACATAGGTCTTGATAAGGTCTGTCAATGTTTGTTTAGTCTGGAAATCTTTGGCACTGAAATAAAAATTCCTTGCAGTAAATGTGACGACAGTACTTACCCTGCCTGTGCATTTCTTGGCTATTTTTCACTCCTCTTCTTTTGCTCCCTATCTGCAAGATAAATTATAATTTGTTTCTAACTTGGTTTCTCTTGAAAACTCACCTTCTATCTGTAGTACCACGGGACTGCTTCTTCCTCGTACATGACAGTAGAACCCACCGTTCTGTGATCTGCAGTGAAGGACAGCATTCAAGCAAAGGCTTTATTAACGGTAAGTAGGATGCTTACAGCTGTGTAGTGTAGCTGGACTGCATGTCTGCTGTCTCCTGAGATACTCCTAGGTTAGGTCAACACTACTGTCCATGGACAAATAGCCAGTTTCTTCAATAAAGACGTTAGCAGGAGAGTGCCTGAGCCACACCGCGAGGTGTGCATTACAGCAGGTGTGTATAAATTAGAGACAAATGAAGACATCAGGGAGGCACGAGATCTGCCCTACTGCTGTTATATAAGTGCAACGTATGTTCCTTAACCCACTTTTCCTGTCCATTTCTTCATTTCCCCTTCAGGTTAGCACTGCTGATGGCACTCACCTGGTTTTGTTCTTACCGCTAAATACTTCCCTAGAGAAGCTGTCACTGAAGATACCTCCACTTCCACAGAAAGCCAAAACAGTGTTGTGCACCTAAACAATTTATTGGATGTAAGCTTAATTCAAAACCAGGGTATATATTTTTAAATCCAGGATCTATCTTTTTCTAAATTGAGGTATGATTTTTCCACACTTGACTATGAAGAGAATGCCAATGTACATTTAGCTTCCTCAAAAAAAAAAAAAAAAAAAAAAGCAACCAAACAAGAAGAGGCTTCTGTCTGAGGCCCACCACAGCAGAGTAATTCCCCCAGCCACAGTAAACTAAGTCATAACAGTAGTTTCAATGGAAGATCAATTATTGCATTGATTACAGAGGAAAGAGCGTGATCTCAAAGCTGCAAAACCTCTACTACACACACACATGCTCTCTGTACAGAAAAGCTCACAAGATACAGTTTATCACTGCATGATATCGTTTTCTCTTAGTAGATGTACATCAGTACCATGGCAATAGCATAACTGATGCAGTCAGAGTATATTCTGAGATATCAATGTTTTCCTTTTTGATTTAGAAATATGATGGGGTATGTACATCTGATCTTCCTATCTACCTTCCTCTCGGTTTCCATGACATCCGAAACATGTAAGTCGCGTTTTAAAAATACTTTCTGATGAGGTTTTTTCTGTAGAAATGTGTAGGCTGTTCCCAAATTGGTAATTTTTTAAAACATAAAATTAGCTAGTTTACCTCAAGCCACAAATCACAGCTTAAAATCTAGCTTCGTGTGTTTTCTCTGTATATTAGAATATAGCACCGAGTACTGTCCATTTCTGTGACATTAAGTCTAAGTTCTACCTCTGCTCTTCGGCATCTCTGCAAGCAGAAGGAAAAGAGTTTTTTTGAAAAGATTTGAGAGTAGCTGGTGTTCTAGGCCCCAGCTGGGCAAAGTTTCCAAGAGCACACATAAATTGCACTGAATAGGACAG